CTATATATATATTTTTTTTTTTACATTTTATTTTACCAGTGTCAGTTCAGAGCTCCTACAGTAACCTGGCAATCAGCCCCGAGCTCTTTGCCCTGGCTTTGATGGCAATATTTGCTTTTTCTCCGTTCAGAGCCGCGAGAGCCGTTCCCTCCCCGTTCTGGAGTTGAGCTCGGCCCAGGGCTGAGCTTTGGGGACACAGGAGATGGTTTTAGTGGCAATGGCAGAGCTGCTCCCTGCCCTGCCTTCCCGGGAAGTCTCCAATAATCAAACGGGTCATTTCTGCCGGGCCGCTGTGATTTACGGTCCCGCCGAATCGCGACTTTGTGAATGTTAATGAAAGAAACACCTCTCAGCCCAGCTCGTGCCGTTSTGCTTTATGACCTTATTAAATCTCACATTTTGCCATCACGCGGTGACAATTACGGGGGGACAGGGCAGGGCTCCCTCCCTGCGGGGCTCTCGGAGCTGTCAGGGCTGATTTACACCCCAAGAACCGTCCTGAGAGACATTTTCCCACTGCTGACGGGATTGTTTAACGGGAGAAAAGGCCATTAACAAACGCAAAGGGATGAGAGAGGGCAGGTGAGCAACGGGGAGGTAAATCCTGGGATCTGTCAGGAATAAAATCACCCCTCCGTGAGAGATTGGATGAGCTTCTTATCCCAAAATGAGGGGAATGGTGACACCCGGCGGGTCCTGGGACTTACAGGGAGGTAAATCTTGGGATCTGTCAGGAATAAAATCACCCGCCCGGGGAGATTGGGTGAGCTGCTCATCCCAAAAATGAGGGAATTGTGACACCCGGCGGGTCCTGGGGCTTTAGGAGCAGCCTGGGTGCTCGGCAGGCGGGGTTTAGGGTGGGCTGTGGGTTTTGGGTGACTCTGGAATGAGGGTGGGCTGTGGGTTTTGGGGCTCTCAGTGACTCTGGAATGAGGGTGGGCTGTGGGTTCCGAGGCTCTCAGTGACTCTGGAATGTTCCTGGGAAGTCTGGGAATGGCTCTGAGGGTTTTGTGCCACATCCAATGACCTGAGAAAGGTTTTGTGGGATCCCCACCCCTGTTCCTAACAAGGGGAATAAACTGAATGATTAAAACCCCCAAACCCCGATGTGACCCAGCGTTCTTTCCCGTTTCCTCGCAGGAATTAAAGAGGTCAAGSTGTCAGTAAAAGACTCTTTATTCATAAATAGCCGATATCCACAATTCCCATCTGTACATTGCTCTCCAAGGGCCGGGGYCCCACGGCTCTGGAACTTTCCAGAAAACACCCAAAGTGCCCAGCTGGACCTCCCCGGGACAGCAGAACCCAGCTGGTGTGGCCATTACCAAATATATCTATTTATTGTAAATCTATTTATATATCTACATGTGCTGAAAAAAAAAGAGAGAAGCCAGTGCAGCCTTTTCCAAGGAGACTTTCCCAAGTATTTTTTTCACTGTACAACATTCAGAATTTACATCGATAGAACAAGGCACAGAAAGTGTGGGATGAAGCCAAGGCCATGCTGTTGATTCCGTGTTCCTTCTCCCTCAGCCCAGAGAGAAAATCTCGGAGCTCTGCCCTCCCGCAGCCCTGAGGAGCCCAGAACCAACCCCTTCACAACCAAWTCGCTGCAAAAACAAAGGAGCAGGACAGAAAAGAACCCTCTCTGGAGGAATACTTGTGGTTTTTTTCTCTTTTTTGAAGTTATTTCTATTTTCTGTCGGATTAGGTTGAAGTTTTCCCCTCCCATTTTCACCCAAGAGTTCTGGCAGCTGAAAATRCGATGGGATTTGGTTTTGGTGGCTCTTTCCTGACGCTGCTCAGAGTCCCCCGAGCCTGAACAGCAGCACATTTGCAGCCGTTCTGTGCCCATTTCTCAGTTTGGATCAGAGTGTGGGAGGTTTGAGAGGGATGGGAGGAGGCAGCTCCACTGCCC